AAAATTGTGTAGTAAATAATATTAATATTGATTAAAAACAACAATTACACACATATATTGTTTTTATAACATATTGCCGCTCTTTCAAGAAATCAAAATCTTTTTAATATTTTATATTCAGTTTATAACTTATTTGACGAATTACACTAATTATATCATAAAATATATAACAGTAATGTTATACTTCCAACAGTAAAACAAGATGGAGGTACTTATATAGCACAAATAAAAAATGGGAAAGTATTTTATTTCACAGAAGTAGATTAAGTATATAATACTTACCTATAGTTTTTTATGATAATTAAAAATTGTTTAATGAAAATTTAGTGATTCGGGAAGATGTGTAAAGATAATTAAAATATAGCTTTACTATGTAAACCAAATTACGTGGGCAGTTCAATCGAGCAATTTATGGCTCTTTAGAAGGTTCAACAAGTTCTCTATAATTAATTTTAGTTTGGTCATAATGCTTTCACCTTAAGCTGCTTCATTCTAGGTGCACGTTTCTTAGCAAGTCTTCGTTGTTCTTTTTCTTCCCACTTTCGTTGTTTATCAGGGTCTTCTTCTTGTAATATACGTTCTTTTTCAGCTCTACGACGTTCTTCTCTTCTTTGTGCAGCTGCTTCAGCTCTAGCTGCATGAGTTGTTTTTAAGAATGCTTCTTCCACTCTTAATCTATTTTTATCTGCTTTAGTTTTACCCTAAATAAAATAAAAGTTTAATTTGGAACAACATGGTATATTCAAATAATTTTATGAAATAATATTTTCAAACCTCTTTAGATAATTTAAAACGTCGCAGTTTATCTAGCAAGTAAAAGGTTAATTGCAGAAGAAGCTTTAATTTTTCTTGACCCTCTGCATTAGTAATGCGTCCTTTAAGACTTATATTTAATCCAACAAGTAAAACTCTCTTTACTTCAGGCATTGTTAATTGAGTTGTATCTCTAAAGTAAAATTAAACATAGAACATTAGAGAACAGAAATAACAATAAAATATCTATTCTACAATACAATTAAAATGCATTCATTACTTACTCTTGTTGTTTTGGACCACTAAACTGATCACTAATGTGTATATAATCTATATATGGTGCAAACTTTGAAAATGCTTGTAAAACTTTTGTATCTAAAATAGCTAATGCTGCTTCAGCAATTTCAGACATTACGTAAAAACCTGATGGAAGACCAAATTTTTCTCCTGGTCTTTTTTCTGGACAATAAACACTAATATCAGCCATATCACGTACTAAATGCATTGCAGTCCTTTTTGTAGCTACTGCTAATACAAAAGTATCTGCTTCATCTTTTGCTAATTCTACACGTATGTGGGCTTGATCATTTTGAGGCCGTACAAGTTGCGCTAATACTGCAACTAAATCTTGCCTTTTAATCAATTTTAATTCAATTAACATAGAATCACATCCAACTCGCCCTGAACAATACAAACTATAATGAGATTGACTTTCTTTTACTAAGCCATTTTCAGATGTGTCTTCATTTGATTTTCCTGTATCACCAACAAGGGAAAAATTATCTAGCAAAAACTGCTTATGTTCCATAAGCCATATTTCTGCCATATGGGCATTTTTAGAACGTCCAGCTATATAATTAATGAAATATACTAATAATCCAATGACCATTAGTATTTCTAAGTAAAAGCTGTCCCATCTTGCACGCAAATGAAGTGGTATTTTTGTAATTGTTAAAGTAGATGGTTCATCATTCTTTGGCCCTGTGTTTCCACCAGCTACATCTAACCCTTCAAATTCTTCTTCATCTTGGAAATGATCAAATTCACTATCACCATCAACAATTAAAACATCTTCTTCTTCAAAATCTTGATTATTATTTGACTCTTCAAAATCTTCAAATTCTGCAAATTCATTATCTTCGGGAAGTTCATCATGAAAATGTGCCGTGACCCATATATTTGTTGCAACCAAAATAATGTGAATTATAACTAACCACAACTTCATCTTGTCTAAAACAAAAAAGTAACAAATAATTAATACACAATAACCAAAAAATATGCGAAAAAAATGTATTTAAACCTATATTTATTCTTTTTAAAATACGTAATATTTAAACAATGTACTACGTAAGATATTTCTGTAAATGTAATTTAAGAATGTTTTTATGCTGAAACCTGAAGTACTTGAGAAAATTTTAATTGTAACGATTTTATGTATAAAACTTTTATTTTTATCAATTTAATGTATTACATTAACTTTACCGTAGATTTATATAAAACACTTTCAACTTTTCGACATTGATTTCAGTTAATAATTAATTGCAGCAAACTTTCTAATAAATAATACTGTCACAGCAGCCTTTCAAGGAGGTGACTTGCACGCCACGAAACTAGTTACGGAATATAACGTCATATCCTTGACCAAAATTGTATTGTTACAAATAAGAATAATAACACTTTCATTTCTGTGACTTAATGTCAAATTTAATATAAAACGTATGAAATATTTAGTATACATATAATAATTCTTCAATAAAATGATCAGGTATACTTGATTTTATTCACATTGTTTAATTTAAAAAAAAAATTGATATGAAAGAAATTACAATTGCGATTATATTATATTTGTTCACAGGAATATCATATTGAAAAGCAATTATAACATAAATTAAAAAATGTGTTATTTTAATATGTTTGATGAAATAATTTTGGACTACTTCCTGTTAATGAAAATACCGCAACTATCAGCCGATAGTTTCGAATTTATAGTGTATTCTGAAGGCATCGATCTTTGTCGAATCCCTAGAACTAACCTAAACGCATAAAGGCGGTGGTTCTATGTAAAATGGCGTACGATGCGCAAATGAGATGCGCGCAAATCATTCTGAGACAAGCCATCTAACAGTCCGCGTCGAAGCTGCTGCGGTCATTTGTTTAGTATCGGTAAATTACTAATTGATATACTGACCTTTTAGTTCATATTATGATCATTAATCTTCACGAACGAAAATTTAAATCACAGACATCTGTGTTGTAAGCAAAACTTAGACGCCACTACTTTTAAAAACAAATGATAATTACATTTAAAACAAAAGAATGTTTCTTCAATTTTTCTAGGTCCTTTCTCCAACACGTGTTGTAAAATATGCTGTCTAAAAAAGAAACGCGCTTAGTGTTAAAAAGTCAAGTGATTGCACTCAACACTGGTTACAGCAACATTAGTTATCTCTGAATGATGTTTTTCAACTGCTGGGAATATTATCATGTGAAAAAGAAGCCGTTTGTTATCAAAAAATGTAAATACCTTAGTCTTTTTATATCAAAACACAAGATCAATTGATTAAATTTGATTATGAGAAATTGTTTGCAATTTGTTATTGTTATCTGCAACCAGGCAATTTGTAAAACCATATTTTGTTTTCGCAAATTATTCGAGTAAATATACTTAAATACTTGGGTATGCATGTATTATATTAAAAATTACATGATTTAAAATACGGACACATTTAAATACACGTGAAATAGAGATCTCTAAATACACGGGTACCAGTGTACATACTAAAAATTATACGAATTAAAATACGTCAATACATGTGTATTTAAATATCCATGGATACGTAAATTAAGAACAGCTGTCAGAATGATTTTCGCACATCGTACGTCATTTCACATTGGATCATCGCCGTTGTTCGTTTGTGTTAGTTCTAGGGATTCCGCAAAATTTGACGCACCTATTACGCTATCGTGTGAACGCGGCTTCAATATGACCTCCTTTAGCGATATCGATATGTAAATCAGGAACGAAATTTAAATTCATTAACTTGCGTACATATGAAACGTGTCAAATATAAATTATACGTACAGCGATGTTGTCAAAGTAATGAACAAGTTCGGTAACATATATTGTAAACTATCATTGACTACTGTTTGCAACTGCTGGTTAAAATAAATATTTATCCTCGTTGCTACGCAAAGAAACATTGCTGAAGTGTAAAACACTCACTTTAAAAGAAATTTATATTAATGAACAATTGTGGGCTTAATTTAATTGGAGTTTATTATTTAACTAAAACATGTTGACACCAAATTACGAATATCGATAACGTTTGAATGTACAATAGATTCCTTTTTCTCCATTAAAAGAGTCCAGAAGCGATATTTTTGAGGTAAAAGTAAATTGTAAAAACATTAAAATCTCTTGTTATTAAGATCCTAATATTATTAAGTTCTTATTGTTATTAGATGTAGTTGTTGTTTCATAAAAGATTGCAACGTTTAGACTTTCTTGTTCATTTTAAATACCACTACATGACCACGAACAGAGTGCCTTATAGTGTGTTACGGGCACCAACCCACGTCCACATTATCCCTAAAACACCCGCGAAATACGCAACAAGTATCATAGTGAATATTGTAAGCTTTATAAAATATGTTGTTTCTTTTAATATTAATGAATGTTAAATCCATAAATATAAATATGTATATGACAAAAATCTTTAAATTTGGTAAAATGAATATTAACGCGTTGATATAGAACCACTTTTATTATTATTATTATAAATAGGAATTTATTTCAAATAAACAAATTAAAATTTCACATGCAATTCCTTTTTCTACACTAAAAAAAACAAAAAATAAAAGATTATGGTTTATCGATAAAATAAATTTCCTACAAGGAAGTTTCACGATGGCCTTGGGCATGAACCTCTTATGTGGTCTATAGTCAATGGTTCAGAGAGAGATCGATTCAGTAAACCTGTGGAAACGAGTAAGGGAACTTCATTGCGCACGCTTCAGTGTAAAGGCTTTTTGCTGTCAAAATGTGATGCAGTTGCTCCTGCATTCTATCGCAATGTGTTGTGCATTATCTTAATGATTCATTCAAAAATCGAGCCGTAATTAAAGCGAGGGCTTGCAGCAACCCTCGAATCAGAACCGATCGAATAAGTTAAAACAAAAAGAGCGCGTGTTAACGGTGTAAATCTTAGAAAGCAAACAATGGATCAATACTTTGCAGAGGAGGGTAACATGCGGATACGACGAAAAATCATCGTTCCTTTACTGTAACGTTTCTTGTATTGTGCTTGCTTGTCCCGTTGAAGAGCTCGAAAAGAAAAGGTAAGTGTGTCATTAGAAAAACAACCGCGATTCTTATAATGTGTCACATAATGTTTGGTTAAGCTGTGCTGGAATTTCAATTTTTTTTTTTTACGCTGTAAGTGACAAAGCGCATAGTTAAAAAGCAGTTAAACTAAAATGTCAAGAAACTTTCTCGTCGATTACAGTAAAATTATATCTCCATTCCTAAGGAATTGTTATCATCGATTTCTTTGAATAATTAAAAACCAAGGTACCAATATACTATGCCTGAATCATTTTCCTTCTTGTTCGTTGTTATTAGTAAAAACAGAACTGCTTCTTTTTATAGAAATAAAGCAACCGTGTTTCGATTAATCAACGACCATGCAGTGAATCCTACACATACATCCTACACATTAAATGTCACTGAAATACAAACAGTTACGTCAACCGGCGTCTGATTCCTACTTTTCCACTAATGGCAACAATTGTCGAGATGTACAGTTACCACTGTAAAATTATGTAAAGAAAAAGAAAAAAGAAACGTAGTATTTTCTCTGTAGAACTTTTATTTATTTACAAACGCGAGAATCGCCGTTTTTCCTTTTTTTTTTGCGAAATCAGTGATTACTATCAAGGTACGGTTATTTCACAATTTTCTGGTTTTGCGACGGAGGCGGATTATTGATTTTGCGAACCAGTTATGTGTGCTCGAGTACAGTGTTTCTTTCGTTGCACAGGTGGAAGCATTTGGCCGTCAATATGGAGAAATCGGATAACCAGCTGAAAACCTGGAAAAAGAAGAACATGAAGTCGAGCAGCTCAGCGGACGTGGTCACCCAATGTGTCCAAGTGGTCGTGCGATGCAGACCGATGGACGAGAAGGAGCTAGCTCGCAACTATTCACGCGTGGTAGACGTGTTCCCGTCTAGGGGAGTGGTCGAAATTCGTCATCCGCGGGACGATCCATCCAGCGATAATGTGAAAGTCTTCACATTCGACGCGGTCTACGACTGGAATTCCAGCCAGCAAGATCTGTACGAGGAGACTGTCAGGCCGTTGGTGTCCTCGGTTCTGGATGGTTTCAACGGCACCATCTTCGCGTACGGACAAACCGGTACTGGAAAAACTTACACCATGGAGGGGCTGAAGAATGATCACGAGAGACGAGGTGTAATTCCACGTTCGTTCGAGCATATTTTTAATCATATAAGCAGATCCGAGAACATGCAGTACTTGGTGCGAGCTAGTTACCTTGAAATTTATCAGGAAGAAATTCGTGACCTTTTGCAGCCTGATCAGAGTCTAAGATTCGAATTGAAGGAGAAACCGGACACCGGTGTATTCGTCAAAGACTTGTCCACATCGGTGTGCAAAAGTGCAGCGGAGATTCAGCAACTGATGGACACCGGCAACCAGAATAGGACCATAGGTGCGACAAATATGAACGAGCATAGCTCTAGGTCGCATGCGATATTTTTGATTACTATTGAAATGGGATCGATTGGCGATAACGGCGGAATTAGGGTCGGTCGTTTGAATCTGGTTGATCTGGCGGGCAGTGAAAGGCAGAGCAAAACGGGAGCTTCTGGTAAGAGGCTTAAGGAAGCGAGCAAGATCAATCTAAGCTTGTCAGCACTGGGAAACGTAATTTCAGCCCTGGTAGACGGGAAAACAACTCATGTACCTTACAGGGATTCGAAATTGACGCGATTATTGCAGGACTCTTTAGGTGGAAACTCTAAGACGATCATGGTCGCAAATATTGGTCCGGCGAGTTATAACTACGACGAAACTTTGACAACGTTGCGTTACGCGAATCGAGCGAAGAACATCAAGAACAAACCGAGAATAAACGAGGATCCGAAGGACGCCCTGTTGAGACAGTATCAAGAAGAAATTGGTCGGCTGAAGGAGAAATTGGCGCAAAAGGGTACAGTGCCGAGGCGAAAAAGGAAATCGAAAAGGAAGAAAGAGGATGAAACCGTGGATTCGGAGTCTGAAGCGGAAGACAGTCGAGGCGAGGATAACAAGATAGAAACGGACAAGAAGCTGATTGCGGAACAACTAAAAGCTGAGAAGCAAGAAACGGAAAATCTTATAATGAGAATAAAAGATCTAGAAAGCAAGATGCTTTGCGGAGGGAAAAATATCATCGACCATACGAACGAACAGCAAAGAGCATTGGAACAGAAAGCGGTTGAAATTGCGGAAAGAAAGAAACGCGAGGTCGAGATGCAGCAGAAACTCGAAGACGAGGAGGTCACGATGTTAGGTGTAAAAGAAACGTACACAAATTTGCAGCAGGAAGTGGACGTGAAGTCTAGGAAGCTTAGGAAATGTTTCAATAAATTACAGGTCCTTAAACAAGAACTGGAGGACGTAACCAACGACTTCAATAGAGACAGAAGAGAATTGGAACAAACTCAGCACGAACTGATGAAAGAATTGAAGTTGAAATATCTTGTAATAGAAAATTTTATTCCCGAAGAAGAGAAAAACAAGATTCTATCGAGGATTCACATCGACGAGGAGGACGATTGTTGGGTAGTAAAAGATCCAGAACCATCCACTATAGACTTGATAAAAAGACCCACTTCGATTCCTGGTGCTCGTAGGCCGGTTTCAGAATACGCACGAATTGCCCTAGCCATGGGAAGAGGTTGTCGTTACGCCGGTGAAAATATATTGAATTTAGACTTGGACATGCCGGCTAGAACAACCTTAGACTATCAGGGACCAGCCATTGCACCTACGATTCAAGCGGTCCTCGAGGAAGCGTTGCGCGACGAAGGAGACATCGACGTGGATGCGTCCAGTGCGAAACTAAGATCAAAACCACGTTTACAGTCCGCGAAAATACGACCTAAAAGTGTTGGAAAGATGCAACAGATACCAGCGCCCGTTTATCCAAAGACAAGGGGTCTCGTGCCGAAGTAGGAAATTTTTAATACGTTCCAGTACAGTCTGTAAAGAAACGTGTAAATATTGTATGAACCGTAACATGGGCTTTGTTCGATTAATTTATATACATATATATAGTTTGTTGTGATACACCACATGGTACTCTAGGTGTGTCGAATAAGTGCGAAATAGCCGAAAATCTTTATAATTCTCTAGTCAATGTGCACCATGCAGCCACGTGGTATTAATATATTAATTATTTCATTATCGCAATAATAAAAAAAAAAAATGAAATAATAAACGTCCTGTGGAAGTCAGATTCCTATTCATTCTTGAAGACTGGCATATTTAATGTACGTTGTGTAGTTCTTTTTTTGTTTTTTTTTTCGTTCTCTCTCGTAGTATTTGTTAGAATGAAAATCACGAGATATAGGATGAAAAATGGATTGTTTATGTGGTTTTTCGTTCTTTATACAGTTAAGCTTATGAATAGTTTTATTAGTACTATTATCGAGTATTAAGAAAACATGTTCCTTGGTATGTTTGTAGTTCCGTGAAGATATGAAAAAACTTACACGCTTAAAAGTATTTCACAATCGAAGGTTAATGTGTACTCGTTTACTCTAATGCTCTTTTACAACTGTTTTTTATTGAAAAATTACACATAGATTTTGCAATTTTATAGACACGCACACGCACACCACGCGCGCGCGCGAATGTGTGTGTGTGTGTATATTTATTTAAACATTAAAAGTGCTTGTAAAAATAACAGCGTTACTTTCGACTCCTTTGATATTTTATCACACGCATCTGAAATTGCTGAATTATAAAGATAATGAACGTATTATCAATTAATAAAATTTAATTATGATTAATATTACAAAATTGTAATTAAGAGTAAAAACATTTTTTCGTTTCAATTTTCTTTTTTCTCTACTTACTTTCGTCCCGTTGATATCGACCGCATATTAACACTCCATGATCATAAGTCCACGTTCACTTCACGCCAATGTGACACACTTTTAAGAAAACTCCGACATATATATTTTATGAATTTGGATACATCTCGTCACCGACGAGATGAGACACGCGCGATTATAAACGTATAAAAAAACGTCATGGAAATAAACATTTTTATGCGTGAAAACGATAAATGTAAATGGAAAATTCATCGGGATGTCCCGTTGACAATGACATAAGCGTACAGTGTTAGCCGGGATCAGTGTAACGGCGTTCGGGATCGAGAAGTTACACTAATATCAAGGTAAGGAAAGTCGTCGTCACGTTCTCGAGCACAATCTTTATGAACGTTACTTGAGTAGAGATTACTCTGAGAGGAGAGGAGAGCGAGTAGAGATTACTCTGAGAAGGAGCGATGTTGTGATCGGGAGGTCGTAACATTCGTAATCTACACTGATCCGGGGCACGCTGTATTTTTCAATCAATTTGTTTCTTTCTCCTTTCTCATAGAAGTGATCAGGATACTTTTGTTCAACTTTTTATAATAAGGGAGAACTTATTACTATATGTAACGGATCTTAAAACGTATTTACACAATTAGTTGAATTAAATTAGAAACGTGGTAGGATCCTGAGCATTTCTATATCTCAATTAAGATTCTTAAATTAGTAACATTCAAACATTCCTATTCGACAGTAAAAATAGTGCCGAAGGAAAATCTAGTCCCATAACAATTGCAAAGATTTTTACAATGACGTAAAAGTTCCCATACATGCCTATCCTCAAGTTCAATATCACTTTTAATAAAAACGTTGTTGTTGCACATAACTTCCGTATTGTTGCTGTGGTTGTTGCTGTGTATAACTCGAAGAATGACCGGCGGGCGGTCCAACATAAGCTGACCCATCGTAATTCTGTTGCGTTGGGTATTGATTTGTTGCCATGGACGGTCCATTGTATTGACCCTGATTTCCTAGCCCACCGTAACCTTGGTAATTATAACCATTGTCCATGTAACCCTGATTACCACTATAAACCTGTTGAGGATAATTTTGGAACTGTTGATTGGACATGCTTGGATAACTTAAAGGAAGTCCTTGTGGACGGGAGCAAGTTTGTTGCGTATTCTGAACATATCCTTGATTATAAAAGTTCGACACCGGGGTCGCCGATGCGTTAATCATTGGATCTACCGATTTTACAATATTTTGTTCAGTATTCTCGGTCCCGAGCGGTAGATGCGACTTTGGCACGTATTTGTTCGGAAGATCGCCCATTATATTAGCTATCAATCGCTTGGTCTCGTTTAAAATTGCATTTGGATCGTTGGTCTTCGTTAATTCTTTCGCCCTTACCGGAGAATGAGATCTTGAACGCGAACGAGAATGCGTCCATGATTTTGGTGAGTTCGACACCGATTTCGAGAATGCTCGTGACTTCTTTTTCGCTTTTTCATTCTCATTGACGTTTTTATCTGCCGCCTTATATATATCCTCAAACGTATAATCATCATCGTCATCCGATAAGTCTAACTTCGTTTTTTGCTTATCTTCACTGTCGTTCTTAATCTGTTGTTCTTCCTCGTCATCGTTCGCGAACATATCTATCTTCGGTTTCCATTTATCCTCTTCTTCTACAGGATTTTGATTACCTTTACGCACAGAGAACGGTGAGATGCTTTTGCTCGATTTAATAACGGTTTCTATTTTCTCCGGCGTCGGAGACTTTATTTTTGGCGCTGACATCGGTACCGATGTCGTGCCCAAGTTTACGAACTCTCTTAACTTCTCTACCCGAATCGGATCGGTCACCTCTAACTTCCTTAAAAAGTTAATGAGTCCATGTTGCTCCTGTGTGTTCAAGTCTTTGAAGTTCTGCAAAAGTGACTTCAAGTCTACATCCGAGAGACTCTCCATCCTGGAAGTTTGACGTTCGACCGCATCTGGTGCCGTTGAAGTTGAAGGCGTAGACGTTGTAGTTTGAGAAAGGGAATTATTGCTTGCCAGTCCCTTAACAAAATCTGCAGTAGTTACCGGTTTATCGGAATTCTTGGATGCCTCGGCCATTCCAACAACCGCATTAATAAGAGTTTCGAGCTCTTCTTGCGACACATTTGATCTACCTTGCGCTACCAAAGCAGCCGCTATTTGCTGAGCTATTGCTACTTTATCTACAGTGCCTACACCAGGTACGCTAACGGGTTCAGATTTAATTACAGGCGTAATAATCTCAACTGGCCTCGTATAAACCGTTCTAGTCATATAACTCGTAGACCTAGCAGCTTCTAATTCTCGCTTCTTTTTCTTCTCTTCTTCCATTTTCTTTTTGCTCTCTGTTGCTTTATGCAGTAATTGAGCAATATTCTGTATCGCGGTTTTTGTCGGTGTTATAGCCATTTTCTCTATCATTCCTGCGAACAGTTGCCCTTTCAATTTCTCTTTAACCGTCTCAAACAATACACTTACTTCTTCGTCATATAATAATTCTTCAGCAGAATTAGGTTTCGCCTTTTCCGCAGCTAATGCTTTCGAAAGAAGGCACACTATCTTTGGTCCAAGAGAGCCTAATTGACCCTCGAGTGCCGTAAGCAATCGCAATAAGCCGACAACTTCTAGATCCTCGGTTAACACCTCATCCGGTATAGGGCTCGGTGATTTATCCTTCACCGGGTACGGTGTTGCGTAATGTATCGATCTTGTGCGGGGTGGAACACCACGGGGGTAATAGCTGCTTCTGTACATACTTCCCCGTCCACGCATGTACGAAGAATACACGTAATCACGTTCTCTCATGTCGTGACGATCGTAATAATCCGCTTTAATCGTTTTCGTACCGACGTACTCTACCTCGTCGTCGCTTTCTACACGATGGCGGCTTCTTTTAGGAGATCTATCGCGTCTACTCGGCGGAATCCACTTTTCCGGCGGCTTATCTTCCGGTAGTTCTAATCGCGTTCTGATCTCTTCTTTCCGCTGTTGCAGCTGTTCGTTATGAATTTCGCGCATCCGTTTGTTCCAAAATTCAATCCACTCAGGTTTGAAGTCGTGTTTACTTGGATCTTTTCCTTCGGCTTGCAATTCTTTATATCGTCTGTTCCAAAACTTTTTCCATTCGTCAGGGTAAGATGGATGTTTTTCTGGGTTTTTCTCATGAAACTTTAACGCACGATCAAGCGTTTCTTCCGCGCGTCTGATCTGTTCCCGATATTTGTCCCATTTATCTCGCTCCCTAAGCGGTTCCGGTGAACGCGAACGAGAACGAGTGCGAGAACGTGTTCGATCTCGCGAATATCGCGATTTACTACGATACTTGCCACTCTTATCTACCGAACTGGCTTTACGACTACGAATAGGTGACCGTGATCTAGAACGCGACGGTGATGGACTACTTGATATGCTTGAAAGTGACGAGAGGGATTTCGTTTCGTCGGAGGGACGTTTGGGAGATTTTTTCACATTTTCTTCATCTTTATCTAAGGGTTTACGCATATTTAACTTATCCCTTGTGAGAATGCGAATCTTGAACCCCCTAAAAAAGAATAAAACACGAGTTCAACATGTGATTCTGAGAAATTTATTAATGAAGGAAGGAGGTAGGATTGTTTCATGTATTTTTGTTATTTCTTGATTATTCTATTATTCGTTAAAATTTGTTTAAATAAACAAAATTAAGGGAGCGGCGTAATCATAAGGATATTAAACGAATCCTGATAATTTCAAATGTTACATGTTGTTAATAATTGAAGGTAAATATTAACTTACGACTTTGTGGTGTCTGACTTCGACTCTGTTTTCTTCGGTGATGATTTTTCATTTTTCTTATCTTCAGTTTTATGTTTTTCATCTAGCTTCTCATCGATTGGTTGAGAATCTTAATATAAGGTTATTGAATGATTGAATACTTCAAATGCAAACACTACACACATTGAAAATATAAATTATCGTATACTCACCTTTCTTTGAACTACTATTACCAGACATTTCAGCCATCTTCTCTTCAAAGTTTGTTACCCATCGCACATCGTAAACATCCATAAATGTTAACTCTGGCGTTTCCCTGCACGTAGGAAACAGCCATTGATTTTAAGGAAATGTAAATTAAATTACAAAGATCATTAGCGCGCACCTTGTTGAAACACGTCCATAAACTTTCGTAAAAACCCGCGAACAGAAGTGCTCAATCCGTATGATGTTCAAACGTGTAAAAAGTCGAAAATATGTAAACATAGATATCATGACTTACCTAAAGTGATAATCCTGGTAGACTCTCTTGATATATTGCATTTTATTTTTTTCAAATTGATTCTTGTCAACCAACTGTGGTTGCAATCTTCCAAATCGTTCTTCAATCTTCTTAGCCACTAACACAGATATTTCATTAGCTCCACGCTTATAATTAGGAGTACGCGGTAGTTCCGTAATTGCTCGCGATATTGTTGGAAAATGTCTATTCAGATAAGTTATTCTGTGATTATAACTGGTAATGTGTGCCATAACAGTACGAGGGTCACCTCGTTTATCACATAAAACACATGTATAACTGGGTTCACAAGAATCATTATCGACCAGTTCAAGTAGATATTCGAGACCAACAAGTGGGGAACTTCTATGTCGATCCAGACTCATCTGAATCGTAGTTGTTCTAGTTATTTGGTCTTCCATGCCAGGTGGTACTGGTTCTCCAGGTGCTAGACCATCACCAATGGTAGTTGACTGCACAGGTGGAGCTGTTTTCACGATATCTGATCGCTTGGACCACAATAAAACTGGATATGGCCATTCATTTAATTTCATTTTGTGACGATTACACATATTATGATTTAGTAACTTATGAGCTCCAAATAGAGCAATATTACATATATGACACCATATATCACCATCTTCTGTTTCAGAATACACAGGTCTGAGAGTGCCATCTTCAGCAGTGACACTGCTCCTCATTAAACGTTTTCGATCATATTCTTCCTGTGAAATACAAACATCTTGTAAAATGGACAGATAACTGTCATTCCAAGAGTATATCACAGAATAAAAAAAGTAATGGTAATTTTGAACATGAAATTAATAAAAGGTACATTTTTAAATACAAAAACCTGAATTGTTTTTTATAAATCTCAATTTAAATTATATATAGTAAGTATAGATTAATACAGTAATATAAAAACAACATATCTTTTTATTTAGATTTGGCAAACTTATATAGCAATATATTTAAAATTCTAGTTTTGTGAATACCATAGCAGTTCTTTAAAACATTAATATAGTAATTTCTCTTGTATTATAGGTACAGTATTTTTTACATACAATTTTTATTATGCATTACCTTCTCTTTATCTGCTTCTGATAAATGAGAGGGATTACGACCCTCTATATCAAGATCATCAAAGTTCTGCATGGTTGATCCAAGTCTATGAGAAATTCTCACCACGATTTCTGAAAACACAAAAGCACTATGATGCTTGAGAATGATAAGAATGCAGCTTCAGAGTTGGTAGAAAATTATAAAAGTTAATTACAACTATCTAAAAGTAGGCAACTATGTGCTATACAAAGTTAATGCTGCAGGAAAAAATATTTTTGATCAATAAATTAGAAATAAGTATATATTTAATTCATTATGAGAAATAAAAATCTACAAATTTTAATAAACTATACTTACCCATTGAATGTTGTACATACTATTATATATAAACAATTTATATACACATATAATATTTAAATTTGAACTTTCGATACATTTTAATTTTATGTTAAAGTGTACATATAAATTTGCATTTGAAAGCAAATAGCTTAATGCTTATACTGTGTGTTGTAAAATATTGCTGAACAGATAATTTCAGCAACAAGGAATACAACACAAACAAATTTGTAAATATACTTTAATGAGTTGTTATAACGCATTTCATAAAATAAATCAATTTTTATGTATGTACTTACACATTTATGCTAAAACCCTAAAAAGGGTTCCTAAGGAAATTAACATTAAAGGACATGTAATCTTTATCTTTTAATGTAAAAGCTAATTTATGTTATTATTATTATTATTATCATTATTATCATTATTACAATTATTATTATTAATTGTAGTTGCACTGGAGTATAAGAGTCAATCCCCAGCTACTTACCGACAGAAAAGAAACCTCATATTTCCAATTATGTTTCCAGGATGCACATATACCACAAAACATTAAACGGAATGCACCATATAAAGACACTAATATCACGCAAAGTCAAGATTTAGAATAACTTTGCGGCTTATAATAAAAAGAGAAAATATAGCCATTCATATAAAAATAAAATTATATATTTAGAACTGACACAGCTAACATGAGTAATGCTGTGAGTTTCATCGTAACAGGAAAATGAACAAGACTTATATAAACATGTGTCTTTTTATTAAGCGGTGCTTGCTTAAATAAATTATACTGCTAATAACATAATAAGAATAACAAAATCATGGTGAGAATTACAGAAGAACCTGTAATACGAGCAACCAAAAGGTTATACGACCGATTATAATCCATAAAAATTCGTCAACGCAAATATTTCACTGATTTCACTTAAATCACTAGGCTTTGGCAACCAAGCGACCATAGCCAAATGGCGATTCCTCGATTTTTAATTAATCTTCCATCTCCTACTGGTATTTTGTATTTTTTTCGACCACTTTATGCTCAAATTGTAATCGCCGAAATTATGGAAATAAAAAGAAATGGTCTCGACTTACCAAATTACCACGGCACGATGGTCACATTCAGTAATTTTTTCTGCGCAGATTTCTGATTCGTTAATTTTGTTTTTGATAAAACCTTTCGGTGGCCATATCGAAAAAGAAATATTCTACAAGCGCAGATCTGCGCATGTCTGGCCTGTATAGCAGAGGTCGTGTTCGGTAATTAATTGCTGGTAGAAAGCGTTATTACCAACGCGACATTTTCTCCTGCTTTTTCAACAATTGATAAGTATATTTACTATTTCCGAAGTATTTTTTTAATAGAAGCACAGACGAAGTATAAAATAGATTAATCACCACAAACGAGGTATAGAATAGACTTATCACCCAATACATTTTTGTATCCCATGTCGCAGGGGTTCTAGAGCCCGCTTACCATTTTCATGTTGCTTCCAACGTTACCAATTCAGCATTGAATAAAATTACAAATTTGGAAGTGGTTAGAATTAAAACTAAATATAACAATGAAATTACAAATAAAGTATAGGACAAGATATCTTATAATCGTACACGAAGTGTAGAATTCTATACTTCTAAATTAGTAATATATAAGTACATTAGGTTGATCTGAAAGTTTCAAAGAAAGTAAACCAAAACTTTTTCGCAACGTCGTGCAAAAAAGATCAATCAAAATAGATATCATTGTTTGCTTCCTTAAACGTAACACTTCATTGAAAATTGTCTGATAGCATGATAACAAATCTTTTGTTTTAAGCTGAAACCTTGCTTTGTTGTCATAAAGAGGATTGTTAATTATCAGAATAGTCAACAACTGCCTTCAACTGTGAATCTTTTTTCCTTGGAAATTTCACCGACGCGACGTCTTTATCATCTTCTCTTGATTCTGCGGTTATTAGTTGATCTAACTCTGCCAGTTTCTCGTTTACTAGTGGTAAAGTATGAAATTTCGGAACACGTCGTTCCTTACAACTTCATTTATTTCTCGCTAGAGTTATAATTTTTGTACTAACCAAGCTTTTATCCCATCATCAGGTGGGGAATATCTTTTCAAGCTTGACGAATAAGGTTAACAGAATCTAAAATGTTACGATGTTTCGAAAAACTTAACACATTATTTTCATTAACTGCATCGATTTCAAGCAATCAGTTTTCTAAAACTGTAACGCAAATAATAAACTCTAAGAACATTATGTCTTGGTGTATTGGTTATATAATTGATATTATCACGAGAGAATGTATTGTCTAAAGATTACAATAACTCCAAAAGGATTATTTTCTCACTGCAAACACAAAACCAGTCATCAAATATTTTTCTAGTCGTACAAGTTCTTCTATGCGATTTCTGAATCATTGGAAGCAGATTTGGCAACATTTTTCAAAGCTCTAGGACTTTTAGTCCAAAAAACTAATAAGAATTTCAATTTTTTGTTCTCGTTTGCATTTTCAGTACAAAGAAAAGTAATCCAATTGTTTAATGCCTTGAGCCCAGAAACACTTTTTCCTTCTTTCTTTTCAAAGGGTGAAGAAAATGGAAGAAAGATTTTTTTACAAATGTCATTCCTTTCTGTTTTTTTTTAAAGACCACCTAACCTAATCTAACCTATGTTTTTTCTTACACGAATGCATTTATATACATATGTATATCTTTCTATAGTATGTTGTAGCAGACATTGTAGTGCATTTAAACATGCACAATAACATAACCTAAAAATGTCTTTGGACTCTAAAAGTTTTAATCAAATGTGAACCATCCTCTCATTTTTTGTCATTTCTTTAATCAAAAAACTTTTTCGTACATCTATATATACAGAGGCTTAAACGTTTACCTTCATGACTTTATTTTATCGAAAGTAACTGTGATTGGACATGACAGCTTTCAATCATTCGAAAAAATATACTTGAATCTTTCAGTTTAAAAATAATAATGTTACAAAATACAGAATAATCATAATAAAATATAAAACACATAACCTACATAAAACCGGACGAATTAATTAATTATTCCCAGAGTGCACTGTACAGAGATTACTATAATGAAAATTTTGCGCGATGTACTTACTTTGTTACATGCGAATAATCGTGTTTGAACTAAAAATAAATTTACTTTGCCAAATTATACGGTTTCCCTCTGTTGTATTACCATTCCTTTCCTCATCCATATTTACATACATTGTCGAGAAATATTTGCAATACGTATTTAAAGTACAAGATTAAAATAATTTATTTCATGTTTCAAATTATTAAAATAGAAATATATTTATTTACTGAAATTTCACTTCCTATTTAAAATATCAGTTTAATTCTAAATTTTACCCAGTTCTAGGGTAGACTTTGTTTCCAACGATACCAGAAGCTCAAAGCGAATAGATAAGTATATAGAATTCAATTTTTGAGTAAACATTTGATATTGAATTGTTCGATATTGAAAATATCTTGAAGCAAATATTTTTGTCAAAATGGAGGAAAAAGCATCCTCGTTCGATTTCTCAAATGTTCATCTTACATTTTAGAAATAAACTTTTCCGATGAAAAATTGTTATCTACAATATTGTGAAAGACAGGCCATGTTTTTTTATTGGCTTGTTC